CCCTGAAATTCACTTGGAACCAAAAGAGACCTAGAATAGCAAAGGCAGTCCCGGGCAACAAAGGCAAAGCAGGAGGCATCACAATCCCTGAGTTGAAATTATACTACAAGAGCTACTCTGATAGAAACAGCATAGCAGGTGGGGGTGACCCATCCCTGTAAGTCCTGCCCTTGGGAGACTAAGGCAGGAGAATTGCTCTGAATTCAAGGTCAGCTGGAGCTACATGGTGAGGTCCTGTGAGGTCGCAAACAAAACAATACAAAACACCCCTAAACCTAGAGGTTCCATCCAACCTAGCTGTTCCCCTTCTTGGTATCTTCTGAAAGAATTAAAATCATCAGATAACAGCAACCTATGCACCATGTTAATAGCAGCACAGTTTGTAATAGCCATATTCTGGAAACAACCCAAATGCCCATCATCTGATGACTGGGGAAAAAAAGATGAGTTTTTTTTATGCCATGGAATACTACTCTGCCTTAAAGAAGGAAAAGCTTGAGACATTTCTGGCTAAATGGATGCAGTTTAAGGCTACTGTTTTAACTGAAATAAATTAGGCCCACACATTTAAACACCACATTGTCTCTCTGGTATAAAAAGTGCAAGTGAAGTCAGCAAGGACCAAAAGGTTTAACAGACATTGGGAAAGGGGAAGGAAGTGCTCAAATGGGGAGGGGACAGGGAGGACGGGGAAAGGGAAGAGGGGCAGGATTAAAAAAACGGGGAATGGGAACAAGGCTTTTATTGACAGGAGGGGAGGAGATGGGAAAAAAGAGGGATCAAGATCTATCGCCTGCAGGACCAAACTCCCCACAATGAATATGTTTATTGTGTAGATCTGAAAGGTACCAATAAAGCTTGATTGGAGAGAATAAATAGATACAATGTGTCAATAAAAGAACATCCGTTTTGAAATTTTGACACAGGGTTTAGCCAAGCCATTATATTGCCTAAACTGAGCTCAAACTTGCAATCCTCCTGCCTCAGCCTCCCAACTGCTGGGATTACAGGAGTGCTGTTCAAGGGACACAGAGGCAGCTCATTGCCTTCTCCCATGGAGTGGAGTGACTGTCAAGTAGGCTGCCCCCAGGCTTTGAAATTTTGAAAAAGCAAACAAACAAAACAGTCTGGGGAGGGAGGCACTGTGGCCAGGGGGAGAGCTCGCTCCTGGCCCAAGGCGCCCCCTGGGGCAACCCCAGGGTGACTTTTCCAGGCTTGACCCTGGAGCTCAGGGAGGGAGGGCGCAGACCCTCTGGAAGAACAAATCCAGGGGCTGCAGCCCGCCCCATAGGAGCTCCATGCTAGACTTCAAACTCCTGTGCACTCCTCCCCCATGGGTCCCTTCTCTTTTACCCAGAGGGTGGGCTGGTTCTTCCAGGAGGGACGGCTCCACCTGTGCCTGACCTGCTCGCCTGACCTGCTCACCGTGCTGGGTCCCTGCAGACTCCTGAGGCCGGTGGGTTGCAGCGGTCAGCAGCACAGCAGCCTCCTGCAAGACAGTGAGGCGGGGCTCAGGGCGCAGAAGGTTGGCACTTGCATCCATTCAGCACAGCCAGGCCAGCACGGCTAAGGGCACACAGGACAGAGGACTCCAGAGCTGCTGCACAAAGCCAGCACTCAGAAGGCTGAGGCAGGGGAATTGCCAAGAGCTTGAGGCCAGCTGGGTTACACAGTAAATTTGAGGCCAGCCTCAACCCTAGTGAGGGAAGGGTTTTGAAGGGATTCCTTTGTTATTTAATCACAGGCATCCTCAGGTCCTGCTGCACACAGAGAAAACACCACACTTGGTGGGACAGTTCCCCTCCAGGGACCTGGCAGCAGCTGTGTTTGTCCTTTGTGCCTTCCAGGAGGGGGCTTCCTGTGACACCAGCCCCTCATCACAAGAGGCCACAGGGCGACCCAGTGCTGGCCCATGGTAGCTGTCTGGTCCTCTTCCCGGCCTCCTCCTGTGTGCTTCTGCAGCTGGGGCTGGGCCGAGTCCTCTCCATCCTAAGACCCCCCACCCTCCCCTGACAGTCTTGGGGATCAATCCGGGGCTTCTGCATTAAATTACATCCTCCTGTTACCTGTTACTATTTTGAGATTGGTTTTTTTTGTTGTCTTTTTTTTTGAGGCAGTGTCTCACCATGCAGTCCAGGCTGGCCTCAAACTTAAGGCAGTCACCCTGTGTCAGCTTCCAGTGCTCAAGAATGTGTTGTGGCTGGGTCTTACTAAATTACTAAATTGCCAAGGCAGAGTGCAAGCTTAGGACCATCCTGCCTCAGCTTCCCAGAGTGCTTGATCACAGGTGGGTACCACCAGTACTTGTTAGTTCCTTTAATTTTTGCTTCAGCACTTTAATGTAGATGGAAATACTGGAGATACTATGAAACTTGGTTTCATTTACTTTTTTCATTGAGCGTTTTGCCACAAAGATGAATCTCTCTACTCTAGAATTGTTTGTGAACTCATATTGGGCTGCAGGCCAGCCAGACACCAGTGGTAGGCAAGGCTTGGGGAGCAGCCCCTCCTCAGATGAGGTGCTCGGCTTGACCCCCCTTCCTCCCAGCCCTTGTGTTTGTTGGGTGTGAAAGCTGGGGTTTAGTGGTGCTCTGCCTCTCAGCTCCTGGGCCACCTGACACCTTCCACTTGGCACAGCAGGTGGTGAGCAAACACACCTGTGCTCCCACCCAGGGACCTGCCCCGCCCTGCTCTGGGCATCCTGGCCCAGGGCTTCAGCATCCCAGCAACAGCAGACCAGTGGCTTGGCTGGGCTGGGTAGCACTGTGGGCAGTGGCAGCCCTTAGGGGAGGAGTGGCCAGGCCACCCACCTCCTCAGTAAGGGTCCTTGAGTCCATGCTACCTTTGGTCCAATGCAGAGCCCAGATCACACTGCCTTCCTCTGAAAGGACAGCATGAGACCTGGACAGGACCAGCAAGCTGGAAATTGTGCTGAGCTCTGAAAACTTCAGAACAGCAGGCCTGACAGTGCACACCTGTAACCCTAGCACCCTGGGAAGCTGAGGTGGGAAGATCGAAGGTTCAAACCCAGCATGGGCCATTTAGCAACTTAGCAAGATATGGTCTCAAGATAATACAAAGGGCTGGGGAAGTAACTCAGAGCAAAGGCTCTGGATTCAATCCGCCACTGCCAAAAAAGCAAATAAACAAAGAACCCTTTTGTATGCATATGCTGGGTGAAATCAGCAAAGTGGCCTCTAACAACATCCCTGTTAAGAACCCACTACCTGGGCCCCCCACTGAGGAGACAGTGAACAATCGGCTGCTCCTGTCTGCTCCTCTGATCTTTGTAATGACAGAAAAAAGGAGCAGAAGAAATCATTTCACTGCTTTGCCCCAAATTAAAGGGCAGGGCAGAGTCCCAGCTGGAGCAGCCCTAGAGCTGCCTCTTTGCAGGGCAGCCATGGTCTCTCCCCTGTGAAGGGGGCCAGCTGGGCACATGAAGTGGGCACCTCTTGGGGGGTGGAGGGCTGGATGCCTGTGGGGCCACAGTCTTGGACTGATTTCCGTTCTGCACCCCCCCAACCTCGGCTCCCACCCCACAGCCACACTTGGGCCACCGAGCACACAGCACCCACTGGGGAATGCTTTGGGGACGAAAATGGCGGGATGTGGAACTCACCTCCCTTTGCGCTGATCCCCAGTGTGGACCCCATCAAGTGGAACAGGGCCACGGCTCCCATTAGTGCCTTCCAGGCCCGGCTCAGGCCCCTTGCACCCATGGGCCCATCTGCTCAGACCCAAGTCCCAGCCGGTAAATGAGCAAGTGGAGACGCACACTGGGCATGTAGACCCCTGGGCCACTCAGGGAGTGTCCCCTGCCCTGGGTCTGGGGACCATCAGCCAATCACAGTTCCCCCAACCAGCCCCTCCCCCAGGAGCACTGGGGTCCTCTCCCAGAATGCTCCAGGGCTGTATTCTAGAAGGCAAACCTGTCCTAAAGGGTACGGATTTGCTACCAAATGTGGGAGCCCTGGAGAGGCTGAGCAGTAGCTGCACTGCAGTGCTGGGTGCCCTGCAGTACCTGGCAGAGGGAGGGACTTCAGGGACACCTCTGGGGCCATTTTCAAGTCAGAGAAAACCCATTGCTACTACGCCTGGCACTGGAAGTGGGAACTTGGACTGGCAAGGTTGTGGCACCAAGAGAAAGGAGTCCTTGTCCCAGGGAGGGGGACTGACAGGACCAGCACACAGCCAATCCTGTGGTCAAGTTAGATGCAGGCGTCAAGATCGCCAGGCACATCCCCCGTTGCCCCGGAATGCTTTTCAGTCAGTTTTAACTTGGTTACTGAGCAGTTCTGGGGTCCTCCTGGCCTGTGCCCATCCCCACCTTGCCTGCTTTCCTCTCCTTGGTCCTTTAATCTCACTGCTGGTGCAGACTCCACGGCAAGGGGAGTTGGTAGAGTGCCACTGGCCCCACTCCATCTCTGGGCTGCCCCAGCCCCCAAGCGTAGTTCGACCTCAGACCTGACCTCAGCTCGACAAATGGGAAATGTAATCTTGCCTTGGTCCTTCACTCTGGGGTGTTTTCTCCTCCCTAAGTGAAAAGACAACTGACCCACCCATCCTGAGGATCCCGGCCAGTAACTAATGCAGCAGGGCACAAGGCAGAGGTCGATGGGATGAGTCCCTATTCATGATCGCGTCCCATTCACGCCTCTCTGTGGTCCTGCTTTTCCTGTGGGTCCCCAATGGCACAGGCTTGGTGGTATTGGGTCACTGGTTTTGCCCCTCAGAGGCTGGGGAACCTGACCCCTTCCCCCTCTCCCTGCTCTGCCCTGGCCCCCAAACACAGAGGGAAGTAACAAACCCTCCTGCCGCTCAGTCCATCTCCCTCCACCTCCGAGCAGCTCAGCCCCTAACTGGTGTGACCTCAGCTCCACAAATGGGAAATTTTATTTTCTATGTGTGAAGATAAGGATGTGCTGAGAGGGAAGCCTAAAGTCCGAGTCCAAGAAATCAGATTTCCAGCTAAATGTGTGTAAATAATATTCAAACCATACTCAAATAATATTTATTGAGTCCTGTAAAAATACTTTTTACAAAGTTGGTTACAAAATTGTAAGAAAACACGTCAGGGGGGCTGGAGGTTTAGCTCAGCGGCCTAAGTGCCTGCCTTGTAAGCAGGCAGTCGTGAGTTTGATCCCCAGTACCAATAAAAAGGAAAAAGACAAAAAAAAAGAAAAAAGAAAGAAAACACGTCAGTATACAAAGAGGAACTAGGAACAAGCCAGCAGCAGGGTGGCTGAGATGCCCGTGTGAATCGGGGTGTTTGTATCCCCAGCAACACCTCGACACCTCGACATCCAAGCTACAACTGGCTGCAGCCTTCTGTGCTCTGCCCGCCAGCACTCTCTTCCCAGCACTACTTAGGAGGATGAAACACTGTGTTAAGCCAGAGGCGTCACTAGGGGCCTGTGTGTCCCCAGTGGAACCGCGTCAGAAGGCCTCCCTCATCTGTTTAAAGTGACCTACCACAATCATCTGTAACAAGGAGGAGGGAACCCGAGAAACTGGGAAGTCTGTAACAAGGAGAATGCAGGGCCTAGCGAAACTGGGAAGTAAAACAAGCTGGCACAGAGGCCACACGGCCCACGCTCAGGTGTGAAACCACTCAGACGGTGTCTGGGAGACTGGGGTTGCTGCAGACATGACACTGCAACCACAGGGTGATCACTGTGAGGTGCAGGAACCTCACAAAGGGCCCAGGCAGACAGAGACAGACAGACAGACACGAGCAGGGCTGGGCCAGCGCAAGGTGCACCGAGGCCCTGCAGAGCCAGTTACCACCTTGGACCGGCGCCCAGGCCATGTCTCCATCCTGTGTGTGACTCAGGTTTTAGGACTGCAGGACTGTGATTCAGGTTTTAGGAAGTCAAGCCAAGGAGGGGAGCAACATTTAAATGCGTGCTCACTATGGAGCCACGCTGGCCTAGAACTCACAGAGGGCCTCTGGGCCTCAGTCCCCTGAGTGCTGGGATTAGGGGCGGTGCCATCAGACCCAGGCAAATGCGATTCCAAAATGTTACTTTAACAAAATACGAGATCCAGTTAAACTAACATCAAACTCCAGAAGAGTTAAATACACTGGTTTTTATGATGCAGAGAGCTCACAGGGAAGCACAGTCTGTGCTGACTTACACTTCCGAGCATCACCCTGAAACCTAGGTCAGGCTCTGTACGTGGTGTCAGGAGGCTGTCTGTGTGGCCCACTTCCTGGCACTGATTTTAGGGGACAGGAGACGGGGGCGCCCTCGAGGAACAGGGGGAGCGTCCCCACACTGCGAGGCTGCTCTGAAACAGCAGGAAAGGGGGGTCCCCCACATGCAAGGCTCCTTCCAGACTGCAGCCTGGGGTTCTGTTTGAAGGGCCACTGGGCTTGGGGCCACTGTGGCCCAGTGTGCATGAGGCTCTGGGCTCCACTCCTGAAAACACCCGGTGATTTAAGAGCAAAGCCAGCCACCAGGAGACAGCAGGAGCCACCAGGAGGATGCAGCCTTGGACCAGGAACAGAGGTCCAGATGGGAATCACTCCAGCTGCAGGAGGGCCCAGGGGGCACCCAGGATGGACAGGCAGGAGGACCATCCCACCCAGTGTCCCAACCCTGCTACCTCCAGGAGAAGGCACTGGCAGCTCATCACCTGAGAGGCCCAGCTACAAAAACCAAGGAAACAAACCCTATAGTCTTCTCAAGGTCTTCAAACCAAAGTAAAAAACAGACAATCTGCAGTCATCCGCTGACCCAACCATGCCACTCACATCCCGCGGAGGATGAACTGAGCACCGTGTGGAGCTGACAATGCTGGAGGCGACAGAGCCGCCACTGCCTGCACCAACCAAAGCCAGGCTCAGGCCAAGGCCAGTGCAGGGATGAAGCACTGCAGGGACACATCTTCGTGGAGCACATCGAGGTGAACCATCCGGCCGGCCACGACATCTGGGGAGGCAGACGTGGTTACAGGTCCTGTGTCACACTGCTCGGCACTTGGTTGTGTCCTCTGCCCCTGCTGAGGTCACCCCTGCCCCAGGAGGACGCTGCAGCATCTGGCCACCAGGCCTCGGATGAAGACTGGAAGGTGGGCTCCATATTTCCAGGATGTATGTCCTTCCTGGGGTTGGGGCTGACCTGCCCCTTGTCCTGGTGCCACCGCCCCTCTCTCCACTTCCCCTTCAGCAGGGCTGGGGCTGGGACAGAGCTGCTGATCCTGTCCTCTCCTCCACAGAGCCACCCTTTGAGCCCAGCCCTGCTTCCCGGGCTATTGTGACCTCAGCAGTCAGCAAGGAGCCGCCCCCAGCCAGCAGGCACCCACCCACTGGTCAGGCTGGGAGGCACCAAAGGGCCCAAGACAGGAAACACAGGACAGAGGCGACACTCACTGCACAAGGCCTTGGTGGGGTTCACCTGCTGCCCGGCGAGGAAGGGCAGGAGCTTCCGGATGTCCACAAGCACTGCCACCATCTCTGCCGGGTCTCTGTCCAGAGAGGCGTCGTCAGAGGCTAGGGGGACATGCAGGCTCAGTGTGACTTCCCTAGGTGTAACCAGGAAACTGGAAATGCACAGCCTTCTACATCTGGGGACACGAGCTGGGAGTCCTGAGGGGTTCCTCAAGACAAACTGTCCTTCCATGCGGGCTGCAGAGCTATGGCCTACAGTGTGGCAGCCTCTCAGTCATCACCGCGTACTTTGATTAATCCTCACAACATAACCCTGGTGTCTATGTCCACACACACTAAGGGCCACAGTGGTGAACCCACAGTCCCAGAGCAGCCAGGGCCTTGCAGTGTGGGAACATGCAGATCACAAACAATCCCGAGTCGCTCACTGCTGCCTCTCTTAGGTCCTGCGCCTCCCCCTGTGCCCTGTGCACACTTGGCATTCGGGCGTCACCTCCTCCTCCACTGTCTCTATCACTGCGTGCACACGAGTCCCAGCCCGTCCTGCCACTCTCACTGTGGGACCACAGAGGACAGAGGAGGAGGAGACAGTGAGAGGCCTCTGAGGACACAAGAGAAGGAGACAGAGGCCCTGGGCCACCTCTGTGACTGCTCAGGGTGAGAAGCAAACCTTTTGGAGGAGCAGGGACACCCGAGGCTGGGTGAGGGCTCAGGTGACGCAGGGTGATCCGAGTGCAGCGGAAGAGCAGGGAGCCCTGCAGCCCCTCAGAGCTGGTGCCAACACCCCCACCAAAGCACCACTCCACGTCAGGCAGGCCACTGTCCAGAGTGGATCAGACACGAGGAAACTCACCCAGTGGGGGGTTCCCGAGATCTCTGAAGTGAGTTGTGACGCAGACTAACTCGGTTTCTACTTTCAAGTTCAGCTCTCCGTTTAGGTTAGCTTCAATAACCTGTGGAACCAACAGTCTCTCAAAACAGGGAAAAGGAATGAAAGGAAAGACCCTGGTCTGTTCCTGGAGGGCTGCGGCTGCTCCCCTCTCCTGCCCTCCCCCTTACTCCTGCTGTCCTGGGGGCTGGCACTGTGCAGTGTCCCTACAGTTCCAGGATGGCCCCAGAGGTCGCTGCGAGAGCCCCGCAGGATCACAAGCCCATGTGCCCATGGCCGCCGGAGCACAGGTGACCCGTAAGTGGGCCAGAAGGGTATCCGATGCTGCAGGCGCCTGCCTGGGGTGTCACGCTCAGGAAGCCAGTTTTCCATCCTCAGGCTCGATCCTCACCACTGGGAACTCTGCGTCTTTCTCCAAAGCAAAACAGAATATTTTCTTTTATATACTTGGGCAAGTTTCTATTCCTGAGCTTTTGATATTAAACAGCCCCCAAACTCACTCATCACATAGGCTAGTTAACTCTCTGAATGAAAAGCACCCATTTTAAACAGGTTTTCTCCCTTTGATTAACCCAGGAAAAAAGCGTTGCATTTTCTAAACTAAACTACCGGAGTAAACCAAACTGCACACAGCTGCCGGGGAGGGCTGGGCCGCTCCTGTGGGCTCGGGAGAGCAGACTTGGACTCAGGGTCATAGCCTTCAAGCAACTGTGCATGCATGATCTGAAAAACTCCTACTGTTTGTAAAAAGCAATGACTCTGGAAGTTATTCAGTGGCTCACAAGTAGGTATTTATGCAAAGCAACCCACAGCGGTTCTAGCCTCACGCAGGCCCCCGTGCTCTCCCCGATTCCCAGCATCTGAGCAAATGGCCACCTTCCCACTCCGATCCTCAGACTCCAAGCACAACCAAGTGGATCCTCCAGTGAGATGCTGGTCAAGACCCCTAAGCCCTGGAAGTCCCCGGGGCTCACAGGCAGCAGGCCAACTGCTGACACAATGCCACTGTCGGTGCAGACGCACACACTTGGGGTGCAGGAGCTCAGATCCAAATGAGACCACAAGGCCAGCATCGGCCCTGCTCCGAAGCTAGCACTGCCCCAAGGAAGGGGAGCCCAGAACCGAGCTCCAAAACCTCTGAGTTACAGATCCCTTGAAGCTACTTCCAGATGCCACCTTCTGAGTAGCCTGGGCGCAGACAGAGAAGAACGGACAGGCCCCCCTTTCTGGCAGGTAGTCAGGAGCCCCAGGCCCTGCAGCTCTCTGGAAGGGTGGGATGGACTGGGGTGGACAGGACGGTAACCCAGTGCTGTCCAGTGGACAACCCATAATGGCCAAGAACAGGCCGAGGCTCTGGGTGACAGACACTGTGGGGAGGCCTGGGGCAGGGATGGCACTGAGCCTCTCAAGAGGGGCGAGTAAGGGAGAATCTGGGGTGAGCTCAGGTGTGAGTGAGGACACTGCTGTGCAGGGTGGCAGAGTGTGAAGCACAATAGCAGGAGACCACACACCTAACACTTTGAGGAGACTCAAAGTGCCAGAAGCTGAGGAGAGCCGGTGGGACTCGCTGTGACGTGGGGACCTTTGTCCTGGGCTCCCAGATGGGGGGAGCCTCCAGACTCACCATGTACCCATGGGTGGGCCAGGAAACCCACTGGCCTTCGTTGGGGGAAGTGGGGACACTCAGGCCACACTATGGCTTGGGGACACAGCACGAGGCGCTTCAGATCCAAACCAAAGGGCGCCACAGCCACGGAGCCCCAGCGCTCCTCCCGGAAGTCATGACTTACAAGGTGATTGCTGATGTTTTTCATTTTCTCCAAGACACTCTTCATGGTCTTCAGGACTGGTAAATAAATAGAAACCTGCAGGACCAATAGGAAAGAGCAGCAGAGTGAGAGAAGGCTGGCACACAGGCGGGAGGCCTCCGACGTACAACTCCTAACTGTCCCACTCGAGGTCCATGCAGCCCTGAGAGGAAGGCGATCTCATAGGCAGCCGAGCAGGTGAAGGACTGACCCCCAGTGACACACCTGTTACCCTGGTGACCACACCCCGAGGGCTGTGCATGGCTCAGGTGCTCCACATGGCAGCCCTGGGATGCTGCAAAGGGCTCCACGGAGCAGGGGGGAGGGGGTTAAACCTGGCCCAGCAGGACGCCCCTCATGGGGACACTCACCCAAGGACCTTCTCCCTGCTCCGTGCAAACACAGGGGGAGTCACCATCCCTCTCCTAACCCTGTATTACTCCTAGTGCTCCCAAGACGCTGGCCTTCCCAGTCTCTAGACAGGATGCGATGGAAACAGTGTGTATTTAAAGTTTAAAAAATGACTGTAATACACTGCTATGAATCCCTCTCAAAGTCCTCTCCCTGGCTGGCAACACACTTTTCCTGTCGTTCTTGCCACTTTCAGAAGCAGGTCTGGAAGTCCTCTGACTGTTTTGTGTTTGTTTTCTGAGATAGGGTTTCGCTGTGTAGCCCAGGCTGGCTCTGAACTTGTGTTGATCCTCCTGCCTCAGCCTCTTAGGAGCTGGCATTACAGACATACATCACCTCACCGGGCATGGAAGTTCCCTGTTCCTGAGTATCTTTGGCTGCCTCAGTGTCCTAAATCAATTTCAAATGTTTCCCCTTTCATGGTCATTCTGACTTTGGGGAGGAGCCAGAAGTCACATCATGGTGACAGATCCAGTGGACAAGGACACAGCGTTGTGTTCTCATGAGCCAACCTCCGCGGGACAGCACTCGGCAGCAGCACTCACCACACTGGTGATCATGCCCTGGAAAGAGGCCGTCAGAGCTGCTTCAGAAAGTGCAAGAAGACAGGCGTGGAGGTGCACACCTGGAATCTCTGCACTTGTGGGGCTGAGGCAGGGGGATGGTTGGTTTGTAGCCCAAGCCTGGGCTACAAAATGAGCTCAAGGCCAGCCTGAACTGCACAGTGAGATCCTGTCTCAAAAACACAAAAAAAGAAAGAAAGGAAGGAAAGAAGGTGGCAAGAACGATGGGATGCTTCTGAAGCAAGTAGGGAAATATTCTGAGGGGAATTCATGGCAAGTCACTGAAATAAATTTTTTTACAAATACTGTATTTTTAATCGCCCCCACAGATGTCTTCTAATGAATGTCCAGCCCACATTCTACCCAGTGTACATTTAGTGTTTTCTTAAATTCTGAGCAACAGCCAAAGTACTCCCTGGTACCCTCCTCCTTTTCAGTGGCCCTGGGGTCCCCCTCAGGGGAGTGTCCACCCGGCTTAGGTCGCACAGCGCCCCCTATGGCTGTGATACACGCACTAGCTGTGTGGGCCTGTGCAGCCTGAACTGATGCCACTGGCCAAGTCACAAACACGCCCGATGTCCAGTGCTACTTCAGTTTTGATCTGCTCAGCAGCTGCTTTTGAGCAAGACATTCTCTCTCTTACACATAAAGAATGCAGTATTTCTACCGTGTGCTTCACAGTTTGCTTTCCTTTCAGTATGCTTTAAAACTGTGTATCGCTTTCTTAGCAGGCAGGCCTCATGCAGCTTCTGAATAAAATATACTACAAGACCATGAGAAACCTTATAGGAGCCGAAACCGCTCTTCAGGGTGACGAAGGGCAGGCTGGCAAGTGTCACTCACGTCGGCATCCGGGACTGAGGGCTCCTGTAAGTCCTTCCATAGTTTTCGAGGAATGACCTTTATGGGGATATCGTGGGTCACAATGCGACTACTGTTTGACACAGACAGCTGCCAAAAAAAGACAGGTAAATGTTTCATGCTGTCCTCATTAACAGCAAAAATAAAACTAAAACCCCGAGGACAAACAAGGTGAGATATTAAGTCTAAATGGAACGACCTTCATTCATTTATCCAAATTCATTCAGGGCGTCTGCTCTGGGCTCTGAGCTCTGCACACAGCTGATGTGCCAGTGGCATCAGTTCAGGCTGTGCAGGACCACACAGCTAGCTGTGTGTCACAGCCATAGAGGGCGCTGTGCAACAAAAGTCCCCAGGACTCTGAGGGACGGAGGGGCCAGTAAGGAAAATTAAACAAAATGCATGTGATACTCATTAGAGCCTTGACAAAACATGTTGTGACCAGGTCTTTGGACTGGGAAGTCAGGGGAAGTCTCCTGGGGTGGGTGACCGTGCAGATGATAACAAAATGAGAGAGGCAGATGGCCCTGAGGATGTCTGGAAGCCAGGAGATGGGAAGAAGCCGACTTTCTCTGTCACAGCAACCAGAAGCCACTCTTTTAGTGACAGGACACTTGGTGTGTGGCGGTCCCTACACGGCTAGAAGAATAAACCATTCTCATCTATTTTCAGGGGCTCCTTTCAGCCCCACAGCCCAAAGCCTCTGGCCCTTTTACACAGAAAGTGTGTGTTAACTACTTTGCCTTAAGAAAGTAAAGAAACTCCAGGTTCATATTGTGACAGTGAATTAGTTCTAAGTTAGCTCTAAGAACAGATTCTCTACGGAGTTACACAGAAATTACAAAGTTGAGAAATTCATTTGAAACCATAAACAGTGCTTGCCCACAGATGTGTGAAGTGTGTATAAAGTAGAAGGCAGGGGAGAGGTAAGGACAGCAGCTTTTGGGAGGGGCCAGTACTGACACTGAGCAATTTGTAAAGGAGGAGCTTTGGCTTAAAAGACAGACACCCTGGGGAAGACTTGACATTGTCTGGGAGTTTGGAAAGAACTGGGCATAACCAGAGAAGACCATTCAGGGTAGTACCTTACGATTTGGCTTCCAGATGGGTTGGGCCATATGTGAAAGGTTCTGCTCAACGCACTAAGAAATATGAACTTCATCATGTGCGTGTGCGTGAGAGAGAGAGAGAGAGAGAGAGAGAGAGAGAGAGAGAGATCTGACGGGAGCTGTGTGCTAAGCTCATCTGGCAGTAACATGTTAAGACAGTCATGTTACTGAAACATGACTGGCAATTTAAAGGCATCCCAGCAGCAGAGTTTTGAGGAAAGCACATCAAAAGTGGAAATGGATAAAAACCATGATTTCTACCTGGGATAACAATACCATTAAAAAAATTTCTGACACTGGAAGTTTTACCCTTTGGAAAAGGCAGCATCCTAGTTGAATGCTGTATGATCATGAAGAGGAGAAACTGACTCTTAACAGAAAATGAGGAGTCACCCATCAGGTCTTTAACAAAATAATGAGCTATCAACAAAACTGTTTAAAAGCCAGGAGTAGAACTCTTGATGGTTCTTTGAGGCCAGGACTTGTAGAAACATTCAGAAACCCTGTTCCTCCTACTCACCAGCTCTATAGAGACCGTCAAGCAGGGAAAGTGTTTATTAGTCAGCTTGATTTTCAAGGTTCTGGCATTCTGGGCAGTCTTCAAAGCTCGAGATAGATTTTCTGATGTTAGTTCTAAATAAATCACATTGTTTTCTGCAGACACACCCTCCATTTGGAATTCACTGAAAAAGTTCTCCTAGGGGTTGGAAGAGAAGGGCTTGTGTGGCCTTTCTGGGGCACTGGTGATGCCCGAGGCTGGGGATGGGGGTGAGGGGCTGGCTCACTTGCTCCAGCTCACACCACGTGCTGGCCCCACCGCTGGGCTGCCGGTCCCAGAGGATGAAGTTCAGCTTCTCCGGGCTGATGCGCAGGGTGCAGGTTCTGGCCAGCTTGGCGATCATGTTACTGACTCCTAGGGCAGGGAATAAGGCCGGGAGTCACCAGCGGGAATGGCAGGCGTCCCAGATATCACCGTCACCTAGAACACATTAGTCAAGCAGGTGCAACTTCCCAGTGGGAAAGCAGCGGTCGCCCATGGGGAGGATGGGGAGGCTTCGACCCCGCGAGTCGGGCCATTCTCCCACGGGGAGCGCCCAACCGGGAAACTGAGGCTCGGAGAAGAACTAGCAACTGGGGTGAGGCTGTCACACGTACAGCACAAACTATGGGTGCTGCGGCACAGGGATCGGAGCCCGGAGGCACAGCCCGGCGGGAAGCCGGAACACGGCGTCTCCGGGGCAGGGTGAGGACCGCGGGGCCCTCACGGAGCCTCAGGTCCGCCCGTGGCGCCGCCGCCACCTTCGCCCGAGACCCGCCCCGCGGGGTCTCCTCGCGGTGCTCCCGCTCCGGCCGGCGACCCCAGCTCACGCGTGAAGTGGTTCAGACAGGCCGCGTCCACGATCTTGGCGCGGAACTTCATGTCGGTGCCGGCCCCGGGGGCGCGTCTACCGCGGGCCGCCTCGGTCCGTCCCTGAGCGTCCCGGCCGGAAACGCGGCGGCGCGCCCACAGGTTCCGGTCCCGGAGCCACAGTAGGGCCAGCTAGGGGTTCCGGGCCGGGGTCCGCGGACACAAGTCCCCCTCCCAGCTCCTCTGGACCGTGATGGAGCCTGCACCCCCGGGTGTGGGCCGGAGGTTCAAGTTCAGAACCTTTACAAATTACTTTTTTTTTTTTTTTTTTGTCTTTTTCCTTTTTATCGGTACCGGGGATCGGACTCACGACTGCCTGCTTCCAAGGCAGGCGCTTATGCCGCTGAGCTAAACCTCCAGCCCCCAAGTACTTTTTGACACCTCTTCAAGTTCTGGGTTTTGCTTTCGTTCATTTTTTTTTCTTTTCCTTTTTCGCACTAAGGATTGAACCCAGAACCTTCGCACTGAGCAGCATCCCAAGCCCTTGTTACGGTTTTATTTTGAGATTGGGTCTCTGTTAGTCTCAGGTTTGTCCACTGCCTCATCCTCTCAATGCTGGGATGACCAGAGTGTGCGATCACACTCGTTTTAAAAATCCCAATGAAATCAATCTTTTATTAAAAAATCAATTTATACAGTCAATAGTATGACTTAAATATATTTCCTTAAAGTGAAATAGCTCTATACCACCATCAGCCTGATGATAAAAGGGTACTGGTACCTCAGAAGTTTGATTAAGGCTCAGAACATTGTTTTAAATTTTGAACATGTTATTGATTAGTCATTAAAGACAAGGGGCTTGAAGCACTCTGATCATCTGGCTGCAACTTTGTCTTAATATGAGCTTTACCAGATTTGCAATAACAAAGCACTCACAGGCTGTGTGGCTTCAACCAGAGAAGTGTATTTTCTCTTAATCCTGGAGGAAGAACACCAGCTCAGTTTTACCGGGCAGGCAGGTGGCTGTCTTCTCCCTGAACCCTGGTCTAACGGCCTCTCTGGCACATCTGTATCCAGTTTCCTTTACCAAAAAGAACAATCAGGCCCCCAGTGTAGTGGAGTAGGGCCTGTGCTACTGGCCTCACTTTAATCATCTCCTTGAAGACCCTGCCTCCTGATACAGTCCCATTCTGAGGAGCTAGGATTGCGACTTCAACAGGTGACTTGGAGGACACAGCTCAGCTCCTATCAAACGTTGCACAGGAAGGGCGCATAGGAGCCATGTTTCTCTGTTTATGTTCTGGGACATGAAATAAAGGGGTCAGAACTCCTTGCCCTCTTCACATGTCAACTTACTCTAACTTTGCACCCAAACATCTCTGTCAGCTCCTCTGTGGATTAAACCTCGATTAAACCAGGAGTAGGGGGGAAAGTACAGACATCTCACTATCACCTCGCATTATTTTAATTTTTTTGAGATAGGGTCTTGCTATGTAGTTCAGGCTGGCCTTGAACTTGCAGCAATCCTCCTGCCTTAAATTCCTGAGAGCTGGGATTACAGTTGTGTTCCACCATGCCTGGCAACAGTTTTTTTCAGACCAGCTACTTTCAGTTAGAAATATGAATTTATGGGCAGGGATTTAGCTCAGCAGCATAAACACCTTCCTGGCAAGTGCAAGATCATGAGTTCAATCCCCAGTACCAAAAAAAAAAAAAAAAAAAAAAAAAAAAGAATTTAATTGTTCTTTCATGCCTTTTTATGGCTCGACAGTCTTTTTTTTTTAGCATGGAATATTTTATTGTCTTGAGTATTTGTTTATTCATCTACTGGAGGACATCATTTGCCTGTATATCCTGGAAATTTATTTTATTTATTTTTGGTCTTTTTCCTTTTTATCGGTACCAGGGATCAAACTCACGACTGCCTGCTTGCAATACAGGCGCTTATGCCGCTGAGCTAAATCCCCAGCCCCCAGAAATTTATTTTTTGTACCAGGCATTGAACTCAGGACCTTGTGCTTTGCAGGCAGGTACTTATGCCACTAAGCTAAATCCTGGCTACATCCTGGCAACTATGAGTAAAAGTTCTCTCGCCATTTATGTAAAAGTTTCTGTGTGGGCATAAATTCTAAAGTGCACAGTAGATGGGTAGCATGGAGAACTGTGTGTAGCTTTGTTAAGAAACTGCCCAGCTGGGGCTGGGGATTTAGCTCAGCGGCATAAGCGCCTGCCTTGCAAGCCGGCAGTCGTGAGTTCGATCCCTGGTACCGATAAAAAGGAAAAAGACAAAAAAAAAAAAAAAAAAAAAAAAGAAACTGCCCAGCTGTACCATTTTCATTTCCACTAACAGGGAACAGAAGTTCTGTTGCTCCACATTCCTGTCAGCATTTGCTTTTGTGTTGTTGGATTTTAGTCATTCTAATAGGTTTGTATTAGTATTGTTTATTAGCCTGCAAATCCCTCATTATTTGTGATGTTGGATCTATTCACATGCTTATTTGCCATCTGTATAGGTTTTTTGTAAGGCATGCAAAATTTTTTTGCTGTGTATTTTTAATGGAGTTGTTTTCTAATCATGAATACTGTTATTTATATATTGTAAATCCACTATCAGATCTTTTCCAATGCTTTGCCCCAATTTATGGCTTATTTTTTGAGTATTTAGGTCTCATGCACATTTTAAAAATCAGTCTTTTTTCTTGTGATATTGAGTTGTGTAAATCAGAAGTCATTATAGCTAATAGTATAGACATTCCTCATAAGATTGAAAATAAAAGTATCATATGATTCAGCAATCCCACTGCTAAGTATACACCCAAAGGAACTGAAACCAGTATACTGAAGAGATGTCTGCATTCTCATGTGTATACATCTCTACTTCCAATAGCTAAGATATGGAATCCTATGTGTCTATCAACAGAATGAGTTAAAAACCTGTGGTATGCATATACAAATTAAGAATAAAATGCAGTGGAGCAAATAGTTAAGTTCTGTAGCTCCATATTTGGCACGTCAGGCACAGGGTAGTGAGATGAGAGTTCCAAAGGGCTTGGTCAGTCCCAACCCTGTGGCCTCATACACACTGTCTCTCTCTAGTGCTAGCTTCATTTGTGATCTGTAGCATTCTCTTGCTGACATTCCATGTTCCTGGCACCTCTGACTTACTGGGAGCTTCACTGAACTTTGGAATTTGTTCCCACAGCTTCACTGCCCTCTCAGAGGCTCCTTACCTGGTCTTCCTTTGAAATCTGAGTGGAAGCCTCCCTGCCTCCACAACTCTTGTAGTTTGCATGCTCATAAAACCAGCATCACATAGACAATGCCATGGTCTTGTCAGTGGGACTGGTAGCTGGGTCCTCTTGGATTATGGCTGCAGTGGCCTCTGAGTACCTGGATGGCTGAATACTGTGAAATGCATCCTGGGGTTATGATTCATTAGAAAGCCCTTCTCAAACAGGTATGGCAGATATGCTCTTCTCAGATGAAATGCTGGCACTTTTGTATTTGATACTTTTATACCCTTGAGCCTGCAATGGGTGTGTGTTGCTGATTCCTGAGATGCCCTCAAGGCATCTCTCTGGTCGTACAAAATACTTTTTTTTCTTTTTTTAGTCATGCTAATCACTTTAGTGGTCACAACTCCTTTGGCTTCAACTTTGCATTGTTCCTTGTGGGCCTAAAACTAAGTTTTTCACATTTTCCTGCTCTGCATTTTATTCCTAATACTCATTACACTCTCACAAAAACTAGCCAGTAATACCATCCTACAGCCTGCTATACTGTCTTGAAACATCCACTGCCAGATTAATTTTTCCACCAATCTGAATCACAGCCTCCCCCAAAATCTCAAGATATAAGCAGGCTATGGGAATTTTTTTTCCTCAGAATATAACACATATGGCCTCTAATTTAACTGCCAGTGCAGTCTCTGGTTCCCATCTGAAATCTACTGAGTCTGGCTTGTACTGACCACATTCCTATTAGCATTCTGGTCTTCTGAGTTTTTCTGGAATCCCTCATTAAGTTGCTGTTTGTAGCACTCTAAGGTTTCTCTTGTATCTTGGAATCTTCCAAAATTCCTTCTGCAAACCAGTTCCAAAGGCTTCTAAACCACATAGTCAAGAATGGTTACAGTAGTGATACTACTCCTGGTACCAATTTTATGTATAGCATTTTTTATTGCTGAGACAACACCCAACGCTCACAGTTTACAACAGAGGTCTAATTTGCTAATGGTTTCAGTCCATGATTGGCTGGCTCCAAGGCAGAGACATCATCATGGCAGAAGGGCTTGGCAAAGCTGCTTAGTTCATGGTGGTCAGGGAGCAGGGCAGAACAGTACCTGAAAGGAACAGGTTACAAACCATATATAATACCGGACAGCATGCCCCAGGACCCATCCAACCACATGCAGACGACGGGTTCCATTCCTGCTATCTTCCCCGATGGACAGTGGATGGCCACGGTAGACGATTGTGAATTAGGTCGGTCTCACAATTCTGTCGTTTATTAGTCTCGTTGTGACCAACAGCATTATACACATGCAGTGAGCAGGTATAGTAAGGCGGCACACGACCCAAGCTAGACTTAAGCCGGACCGCAGGAACCAGCAACTTTAGCAGCAAATCCATCATCAGTGGGGATTGACCTAGTACGCCGCTATTGGACAACGAAGCTGCAAAGGGCCGGAGGGAGCTTTTGCTGTCAACGTGAACAGCGTGAGATGAGATCGATGAGGTGCTGAGGAACCTAAGGCGACTGAAACAAAATAGGAACGCCTAACACTGAGCCTAGCAAGGGTTCCAAGACGCCCCCTCCGGAGCTACTAAGACAACCGGCTCGCTGCGCCTGCACACTTACGCCTCCGAGAAAAGAGCCAATGAGATAGAAGGGTGGGCGTGCACAATGACGTCCATGTGGAAAGAACCAATGGGACGGAGGAATAGGCGGGCTGTAGGAAAATGCCGGTTTCCGGTTCCGGTGGGTCTTTGTCCGCGGAGGTGCTACGTGTCTGTCATCTTCAGTGGCGGCGGGCGGGTAAGGGTCGTCCCGCTGGGGCCCCCGAAGTGAGCCGTGCGACCCAAGGCGGCCACGCCTTTGTGACTCCTGGGGCCGGAGACCGTGGCCTCGCCGGCGGGTCTGCCGAAAGAGCCCCCGCGACACAGCGACTGTCACGGCTTCCCTGGGAACACCGACCCAGGCCCAGAAGAGCTGCGACCCCAGGGCTCTGCTCCCTATGGCCCTCCATATGGATGCGCCCTCTCTCTGCCTTTGCCGCCCGCTGTAGTGAGAAATGGTGACCTTTCGCCATGTGTGCGCGCTTGCAATCTCATCTCGTAAAACTGTTGTTCAGTCCTGGCCCCCGCACCAGTCCTGTGGTGTAAAATGGGAGAGGTTGCCTGATTTCTAATCGGGAGACCCTGGTGGATTCTTGGATGCACGCCGCTGGCTTTGAGCGCAGTGTAGTGTGCATGTTTCTGGACAAAGAGGTCTTACGGTTTATCACAGCCACGACTGCGTGAAGTTTAAGACCGGTGGGTTTCAGTAACAAAGTATATTGCGGAGTAAATAGTCATTACTGTGTTTTTGTCCCAGAACTTTTACCGAATTCCTAGGAAACCTTAAATATTTCATACATATTATTCTATTGAATTGTCCACTGCCCGTGCTAAGTGGGGAAGCAGGGACTTAGGTTTACTTTTTGTAGACAGATTCAAATCAATGTCTGACTGCTATTCTGAGCATCGGAAGTAAGAGTATAAATATGCTGGCCCCTTTGGCGTATTACTAGTAACTCTCTGGCGTCTCTGTTAAATAAGAGAGTCTTGGAAGAACCTGTGTGATAAAATGTATTACCTTGTTCCTTAAAAGATTCAAACCTAAGGGTGTGGAGTTTAGGTAATAGCTTTTTAGACTTTGAATTTTGCTTTCACCAAGCTTTATGATTTGAAAATTTTGTCGGGCTCTGCCCCTCCTACACAGTACACTGATCCGTTAATATATTGTACAAGTGTGTAACAGGTTGAAATTCATGTTTGCTCTCATTTTAGGGTTTTGCTGTGCAGCTGTTTGATTAAAAAATATAATGAATGTCGCTGCTGAGTGTCATCCCATGGAAAGACAGGAATCTTCACTATGAGAAGTGGCACACTGAGCTTTGGTAACAGTGAGTGACAAGTCCCAGTTTGTTAGTGCAGTCATCCAGCTGTGAGCCACAGCTGAGAAGTGTGTTTGAAAGTGTGCTGTAAATCATGGATTACAAACAGCGCATTAACATGAAATTTTGTTTCAAACTTCAAAAGAGCGCTAAAGAAACCCACGAAATGCTAAAATTAGTTTATGGTGATGCTGCAGTGACCAGGAAGACTGTGTACAAGTGGTTCGAGAGATTTCGTGGTGGCTGTGAATCGGTTGAAGATGAGCGATCGGGGCGTCCCTCCACCTCGAAAACCCAAGAGAACGTAGAAAGAGTAAGTGAAATAATTCGATCGAACAGGCAGTTGACTATCAGGGAGATTTCTGAGGATCTGAACATCTCTTACGGTTCTGTTCAAAGCATTTTAACCACAGATTTGAACATGAGGCAAGTGACTGCGAAATTTGTCCCACCCGTTTTGACAGAGGAACAAAAGCAACAGCGCCTGTCGATTTCATTAGAGTTGCTAGAGCGATCCGCTTCGGATTCTGACTTTTTAAGGTACATCATCACAGGAGATGAAACCTGGGTCTATGGTTATGACCCTGAGACCAAGGTTCAGGGTTCTCAGTGGAAGTCACCCAGTGCTCCTCGTGCCAAAAAAGCACGGCAGTCGGGATCCAGCATCAAGGTGATGCTGATTGTTTTTTTTGACCTTGATGGAATTGTCCTAGCTGAGTTCGTACCTCGGAACACAACAGTGAACTCTGAATACTACAAGGGCTTGTTAGAGCGTTTGATCAACGATGTGTGTGTGAAACGGCCTGAGAAATGGGCCAGTGGTTTCATCCTGCACCACAGCAGTGCACCCTACCACACGTCACTCCTGGTACAGCAGTGTCTGTCTGACGAGAACATTACCGTGTGTCCTCACCCGCCGTATTCCTCAGACCTGGCGCCGTGTGACTTCTGGCTCTTCCCCAAAGTCAAAGCGGCCATGAGAGGCAAACACTTTGAATCGATTCAGGACATCAAGGAAGCTGTGACAGCACAGCTGGACACACTCACGAAGGAGGACTTCCAGCACTGCTTTGCAGAGTGGCAAGAGCGGTGGGACAAGTGTGTTCAGAGTGAGGGGGAGTATTTTGAGGGGGATTAGTGGCAGTGTGTCTTTCTGTAATAAATTGGTTTTAATTTAAGCCTCATATTTTATGACAACGCTTCATAACATTTTCCTAATTAATAACCGTTGCATTATTTTTATCAACATTTTTTGTTCATTTATTTTAACTTTATTGATTTTAAAATTATTACTAATGTATACTCTTTGTTTAAATTGTTTTTGTTTCATGTATTTTCAAATGGTGTTAGATTATTATTAGAGCCGTATTGTCCATGTTATGTTTAAGTTAGTCGTGTTTTATGACATTAGGGCTGTCAGTATTTTCCATATTACCACTCTTAAAACATCTTGGGAGTCCTGCCTGCTCTGGTCCTGCTCTGCTGAACAAGACTTTAACACAAAACCAACAGTATGTTTGTTGCCAACCTAGAAAGATTGTTACTCATTATGATTCATGTATTAAAAAGTGGGGGAAAAAAGTAAACCAGAATTTATCTATTTTTTTCATGAATTAACTGTTAGAAGTTAGGGATATAACATATGTAACAAATACAATGGGGAATAGTTCTCTTATGAAGCTTAGAATCAGGGAAGACTCATAAATGATTGCAATATTTTTGTAAATTCCCACCTTATTAAGTAGTATGGAGGGTAATTAGGAGGTCTAATAGTCTATCAGAGGAAGGTAAAGGTCAGAGGCCTAGGATGGCATCCCTGAAGGAATTGAAACATGGGGTCTTTAAGGGTGCTAGAGGAAAGACAAAGCTGGGACACGCTTAGATCGCTTCATTTGTTTCCAGATGCTTTTGCTTTTAAATTAATTGCAAGTCACAGGGGCACTTTCTGACATGGAACAGAGTAATCAGGGTTAGGTGCTTCAGCTTAGTGGGAGGGATGCGGTTTTGATGCTTAGGATTTTGTATTCATTATTCTCAGTTCACCTGCCATTTGGAGGTAAAAAGCCTATCTTACAGAGTGGTGAAATTTGAAGCAATTACTTTCAAAAATTTTCTAAAATGTAAATCTCTTAAGCATTTTATCACTGATAATGGGAGATTGTCTTGTAAGTGGCAGGTAACTGAATACATACTACCCCAGTAGACAGGCGACCATAGCTACTAAGCAGAGTGCCAGTTTGGATCATGAGTTAGATCTGGAGTGAAGAAAGTGCCTCTCACATCTGTGAGTTCCTAGTCCCTTTTACATTCCTGATGAAGAATGTCAACTCTGGAATTGTGGAATCATGGGGACAATAACAAAGGAGAGGTGGGAAGCCTCAGACTATCTCTGGCTTCATATTCCTAGTCAGTCAAGGTAGAAATATCGTCTGTTTCAAGTCTGCTTTTTGTTGCTTCCTGATTATTCTGTGTTCTGACAGCTTTCGTTGATAGGAGGAATTGCTTTCATCCAGAGTGAAGCTTGTTTAAACGCTTTTTGAGTGTGTTAATCTCCCACCCATTTCATTCCACACTATGGTTTTGTCTCTTGCCAGACTTTTCTACCTGTCTTGGGTCATTCTTATGTATGTCCATCTGTACCTTAAGAGTATGAGTTCTGGGACAAACTGGTTATCTGTGTCAGATAATATGTAAATATTTGCATTTCTTGTACAAACTAGTTCAATGCCTTATTGCATTCATTGAAAGTATGAATAAATATTAGTTGATGTAAAGTCATCAATTTCAGGTCATCTGTGAGTAGTGATGATAATGATAACATCAAGGGCATTCTGTGTGCTAGAGACCATCCCTGCTTAACGTGAGTCAACTCGTTTTATCCTCAGGTGGAAACAGACACATGGAGGCCAAATAACCTCAATGGTGTGACTACCAAGTGGTAGAGCCGCTTGGGAAACATTTCTGCTGTGCCTTACTTTAGAAAAACTCACTGTTTTCAAAGCATAAATCACTGTTTAAATAATTGTGAGGTGATAGCAAGGGAAATATAATCAGACTTTTCTTTCATTAGATTGAATGATCACATTGTTTTCTTTTGATTTTTTTCTTCTTTGATTTAGAAATATAGCTGTCGAAATTAACATCTCCACAGTATAATTTAAAGGAGGTAAGCATTTGTTGGTGTTTCAGTTATAGCAAGCCAGTTTAATAACACAAAGGACTTAACTATCAAATATTATTCACAGAGTTTTGTAACTTTTAGCTAGTAATGGAATCCATGTTTACTTAGCATCACGGTAGTAAAATGCGCATCTCTTTGTCGTTGAATGAACCCAGGGCCTTGCATAAGCTAAGCAAGAGCTCTCCCACTCATCCACATCCCCAGCCTTTTCCTTTGTATTTTACTTTACTTATTTATTTGTTTGGTACTGGGAATCCAACTTGTGACCTCATATTTGCCAAGTGCTTAGGCCACTGAGCTAAATCCCTGGCCCTCCTTTTTATTTTTATTTTTATAGTAGGAATTATTTTGAGGCAGCATCTTGGTTAAGTTGCCTTGAATTTAACCTTCCTCCTTCCTCATCTGCAATCTGTAGAAAAGACAGTTCTCGTTTCCGTGACGGTTACGCTGTGCTGAGTGATGTTGGTTCAGTACAGTGCTGGAGAAGCGTCGTACCCATCTGCAGACTCCCAGCTGGTTTGT